GATTCTCTTGCCTCAGCCTCCCAAGTAGCTGGGACCACAGGCACCTGCCACAATGCCCAGCTATTTTTTTGTTGCAGTGTGGCTAGGGCTGGGTTTGAACCCACCACCCTGAGACCCTGAGTATACGGGGTCGGCACCTGACTCACTGAGCCACAGTGCCGCCCATGACCTGGTTTCTTTTTTTATTTTTTTATTTTTTTGAGACAGAGCCTCAAGCTTTTCCCCTGGGTAGAGTGCTGTGGCACCACAGCTCACAGCAACCTCCAACTCCTGGGCTTAAGCGAGTCTCCTGCCTCAGCCTCCCAAGTAGCTGGGACCACAGGCACCTGCCACAACACCTGGCTATTTTTTGGTTGCAGCCGTCATTGTTGTTTTGGCGGGCCTGGGGCTGGATTCTAACCCGCCACCTTAAGTGTATATGGTTGGCACCTTAGCAACTTGAGCCACAGGCGCAGAGCCCATGACCTGGGTCTTAAAGAAATAAATGGCAACAACAACAAAAAAAAGAACGAAAAAGAATGATCCTATAGATCAGCAGTTAGCAACCTGTGGGTCGCAACCCACAGGAACTGTATTAAGGGGCTACGGTATTAGGATTGCTATAGATTAAATAAAAGGGACTCAGCAGGGCACGGTGCCTCACCTCTGTATCTTAGCACTCTGGTAGGCCCAGGCTGGTAGATTACTTGAGTTCAGGAGTTCGAGACCAGCCTGAGCAAGAGCAAGACTCCTACCTCTACTAGAAACAGAAAAACTATCCAGGCACTGTGGTGGGTGCCTTTAGTCCCAGCTACTTAGGAGGCTGAAGCCAGAGGATTGCTCAAACCCAAGAATTTGAGGTTGCTGTGGACTATGATCCCATGACACTTTACCCAAGGCAACAGAGTAAGACTCTGTATCAAAAACAAGGCACTTAAGCCAGGGCCTGGGGGCTCATGCCTGTATTCCTAGCACTGTGGAAGGCCAGGGCAAGGGGACAGGATCACTTAAGGCAAGCCTAAGCAAGAGTAAGGCCCCACCTCTACAAAAAAGTGGAAAAATTAGCCAGGTATGGTGGTTCATGCCTATAGTACCAGCTATTGGAAGGCTGAAGCAAAAGGATCATTTAAGCCAGGAGTTTGAGGTTGCAGTGAGCTCTGATGACACCACTGCTCTCTAGCCTGGGTGGCATAGTGAGAACCTCTC